CGGGTGCCCGAGCGCGCGGAGGAACCGAAATCGGGAACATTTCACCCGGCGGCACCCCCCCCCGTTGCCCATTCCTCAGCCCGCGCGCTCGCTGGGAGGCGGGAGGCGGAATCGGGTCCAGCTCGGCCTCGGGGGGCGGAAATGGCCCGAGTTGGAGGCGCGGGGCCGGACCCCGCCTCGTAACCGACTTCGGTTCCTGCGGGAGGACGACGAAGGCCGTCTGGGGTCGTCCGTGGGTCCTCGGGGTCACCTCGGTCCGGCCGGGCGGCCGGGACTCGGGTACCTCCCAGGGGCCTCGCAGCAGGGTCTCCGGGAGGGCGGGGACGCACGCGGGTCCTCCAGCCCGCACTGCAGCAGCGCCTCCCATCCCGGAGCCAGGCGGCCGGGCACCTCCGAGCGACAGATGCTGACGGCCGGGTCCGGGGCGCGGGCTCCACGCGCAGCACTCCCCGCGTTCCCGGGAAGCTGGCGCCCATCGCGCCGGCACGCAGCGCGGGGAGGCCCGTGACGCGCTCCTCCCGTGACTGTGCCCATTGTGTGGGCGACGCGGCCCGTGCTCCGCACTCACAAACCGGGGGCCCGAGTAACTTTCACTGACCCTGAGCAGGTCACATTCGAGAACTTGCCAAGGGCTAAGTCTCAACTTCCAGAGAGAAAATAAAATTTGAAGTCGGAAGGTGCACGCCGCCTTCACTTGCGTACGGAGTTCACAGCAGTTTCCACAATCCTTGTTCTCTGCGCGCTTGGAGCCCGGCGAGCGGGCTCCATCACCCGAACCCCAAGAGCGCTGGGGCGCGCCTGCTGCGTGGGAACGAGACGGAAGGAGCCAATCCCCAGCTGTCGAGCAGCATAATCGCATCACTCCTCTTTTCTTTCCCTTCTGCACGTTTCCACTGGAATCCAAGAGCGCCTCTCAGGTCCATGCCTTGCAGGAGGACGCAGCGAGGAGGCAGGGTCTCCGTTCCGGCCGCTGCGCGCCCATCTAGCTGCACGCACCGGATGAGAGCGCGGCCCCGTGTGCCGCGCACAGCGGTGCAGACCGGGAGCCCGTGGGTGCGCCGGGCTGATTGGACTTCACCGTGTGCAGACAGACACATGGGCGCGTGCACGCTCGCGCGCACCCCCAAATTACCTCCGGGATGGAGCCAGCCGCTACGGATTGGCCGGCACAGCCGTCACTCTCGCTCAGGGGGCAGGGAAACTTTGCGAGGCTGTTTCCTTTTTTTCCCCCCCTCCCCACCGTTTCATTTCATGGTCAAAGAACAGCAGAGCTCTGAAAGTTAGCCATCGGCGCGCAGAGTCTTCCTTCTTTAACGGGGGGGCGGAGGGGGACCTCAGGCAATACCTATTTAAGTATATTTTGTGCTTCCACGATGGATGGGAAGGGAAATTAGCAATCCTGGGAGGGGCGAAGAGGGAGCGCAGAGTAGAAAGGGGGTCCTCTGGGAGGGGTGGACGCAGGGTGAAGAGCTGTCCTCAACCTTCGGAGGGAATTCTGACCTTTCACTGGTCTCGAGATTAAGAATGTTTTTCCATCGGTCAGATTATAAAAAGACGCCGGTCCTAATGTGTGAATTCATTATTTTCATTTTATTTAAGTGTGCGCCAGCCATCGTGTTTCCTTAAGAACTGACCTATTTTTGGCTGGAGATAAACGATCATGTTAACAGATGTTAATCTTGTAATCTGTTTTTCCTGTAAGCACTTTACAGACCCGGGTTTCAGACCTTAAAAATATCTTTTCCAAAAAGACCTGACGTCACAATTCACTCCCTGAAAAATGACTCCCCCTCGCTCGTTTTTCCCCCTCTGCAATGATTTCAAAGACATTAAATCTTTTTCACTTTATAAACGCCGATTTGTTCTGCCTCAACTCCCACAGGCTTTTATTTGCATTTCAAATTCCACAGGTTACACCAGTCGCCTTTTCAAAAAAAAAAAAAAATGTAAACCAACAATGCAGCAGCAAATGGCTTTTTGTGCATCTGGATTAAATAAGGCGCAGGATGAATATATTTTAAAGGGGGGCTCAGCAAGTTGATCTTTGCACACACGGAGACCCAGTAATTCTCGACCCACAAGCGCGGCGGCAGGCGAATCACACAAGCAGAGCCCCGAAGCTGCGGGTCTGATCCTGGTGCTGCCGCGGGGAGCTTGTTAACGCTGGTAATAAATGGGGCTGACTTACAGACCCACAGTTTCGGATAAAAGGCTGGGTCTCTCTGGTCCCTAACCGCAGAGTCCACGGGCTTCCCAGCCCACCGGGGCTGATTGTCACCGCACCAACCTTCCTCCATAAACCGCTGTTTTAAATACCTCACTCTCTGGCTTTTAGCAACTTATCCATACAAAGTTTCTTTCAAACTTGACGAGGCGGTTTAATCTCAACACCGATTACAGCTGTTCAGTATGTTAGTTCTCTCTGGAGATGGCAGGCGGGGCGCTTTTCC